TGGTTGTTATTTGTTAGCTGTTATGATGTAAACACCAAGGGCAGATATGTCCTTTCATGTAACTAGCATAACCTATATATATTAACTTAAAGTGGCGGCGGCAGAATATTGACATTCTGTTCTTCTCCTCAAAATCTGTGTCTATTGCTCTTCCATCACTCTTTCTTCTACATCTTCTTCACTCTCTCTTCTCATTGAACCTAAAATCTCTTAGTGATCAAGACTGAATAGCAGTCTTGAAAACCTACACTCTGCTTGAGTTCAACAGTAGTGATCTGAGAGCTTTACGTATGAGGGTTGCTGGAGTCAAGCCAGAGGCGATTCCGAGGTCTTTCATGCTGCATGTCGGAGGCCTCTGGAGCAGGGTGTGGGTGGCTTTGGAAGTGGAATCATTGCTCTGATTTGGAAAGATGAAGGTTGAAGATGATGACGTGGTTGGTGGGGTTTCAAGTGGCTGCACAGGTGGGTGTAGATGTGGAGACTGGGAAAGAAGCTTCGAAGACTTTGGGGGAGATGCTTCGAATTCCAGAGTCGAATGCACGATGAGAAATGAATGATATTTATGAAAATGGAGGCTCGCATGGGGAAGTAGAATTGGCAGGGGCTGAGTCGGCGAGTGAGTGGGGTCCACCTTTTAAAGAGAAGGTTTGAAATTAGTTTAAGTGAACCGGATGGTCTGCCAGCGGTTCAAGAGTTCAGATCAAAAGGGGCTATTAAATCATGTGAATGCTCTATTAGTTACATGTTGCTTTGGCCTTCGATAAGCCCGAGTAACTGGGCCAACTCAAACACAGTATCCATACGTATTGTGTCATCCTCAGACGGGATAGAAGAAGGTAGATGAGAGGTAGCAGGAGATCTCAGAGGAGGAAGAGAGGAAGTTAAGAACGGGGAGACATACCAAGGTAGGATCGCCGGTGGATCAAAGTTTACGGGTGAAGGAGTGTATGTACAAGGGCTTGATGGTGATGGTAAGCTGGATGGTGCATTCCTTCCATCAACTTTAGCAGATAAGGAGTATGGCTTGGAGATTTCGCCTCGAGCAAAAGGAAAGTTGTCTAATACTCAAGATGTCAACAACGATTTGCAAAATGACAAGGGCTTTCGATCCAGGAATAGAGAAAAAGGCATTGAGAAGTTTCTGAGGACTAAAAAACCAAGTCTGAAAAGAAAAAAGAACGGTAAGGAAGAATGATTTGACTGAGATTAGAGAAGGAGAGGAAGAGAGTTGGGTATGGGTGATTACTAGGTTTGACAAACATGGCAAGAAGAGTCTCATTGGCGTGCAGAAGAGACTCACAACAGTAGTCCATATTCTACTGCGACTGGCAATGCTGGTTGTATTTATCAGGTGAGGTTGATGTTCACTCGGAGCCGGGGGATACGAACTTGAAGCCTGCTGAGGATAGATGTGATTTGGGTCTTCCAACCTCTCTGAGTTCAAAAGATCTATACTCTGCTGAATTTGAGGACATCAGGACATCAGACTATATCTATTGGTGACAGACATCATAATACACAAGAGTGCAAACATAATTTTTGTTAAGTCTGAAATATTATTTAGTTTCAACGTGCACCCTCTCATGCTACTGGGGGCAAGGCCAAAAGACAAGAAGCATCCTCTTCCTAGAGTTGTTGCTGCCCCCACTAGACTAGACATATATTGCCACATATAATAGATATGCCCCAGATTTTGATTGTTTTTTTTTTTTTTTTAATTCCTACTTTTGAATGGTCTATTCAAAGAGATCGCTTGGACCACATGAGCAGGAGGAAATTTGCGGTTAGGGCCCATAAGATAGTCTTCATTCAGGCCGGAAATTGTGCAATTTATCCAAAATCAGATATTTTGAAAGGTTCATACAAGTGGACATCTGTATTTATGTTCAATTTGATCTTGTATCCTTCCTATTGATATCACCATTACATTGTCACTCACATTAATAATTGAAATTATGAAGTAAAGAATTATAATGTGCATGGTATTTCTTTCCTTCAATGTTTAAACAGGGAGCTTGTCCAGCTTGCAAAAGACGTTTCATGGGCTACAAGAACCAAGTAGTTCGCTGTGCAAGCTGTGGAAATATTGTGTGGCAACCGAAAGGTGACTTCTTCTCAGGTGGAAGTAATAATACCTCTTCAACCTCTGGACCTGACATTATTGATGTCGAGTTTGAGGAGAAATGAGAGACATTTCTAAGTGCTGGTGAATGGTGTGGCTGTGGCACTCGTTCCTCAAGCAACATGAGAAGAGAAAAAGGAGAAATGTAAGAGCCTGTGAGCTTATTTGTTGTGATTTCAGGATTTTCTCATCTACTGTAAATGGAAAGTAGTAGTAGGAATTATTCAATATTTTGTTCTGTATATTGACTTTGTTAGTTTGTTTAGCTCAAGAAAGAAAGGAAAGAAATGCATGTCCATTGGTCCGTTCAACTAAGAAACTACCTGTTTTTTATTAGAAAATTTCCTCTAAGAGTATTTTTTGGGGGAGTGAGTTCCTACTTTCATCCGATGGAAAACATTTTAATATTATGGCCGAAACAAAGAGTTGCCTTGCTGTGGCTTTGATGATGAAGCCATGATTGGAATCTAAAGGTATTCATGTTAATGCATGGCCAACAATGATCTCATACATATTCCAGTCTGATGGCTCATAGCAAGTTCATGTGGATATGTCGTCTGTGTTTTGAATTTGTTATCGTAGGTGAAAATTTGCCTTTTCTTTTGGAATCTGTGTTGTATTTGCACGAGTTATGAACCATAAGTCAGTAATATACTAATATTTACATTCTTATAGTCCAAATTGGTGTCATGCATGGTTTCATATGGGGATAAGGCTTTAACAACAACAGTCGACTTTATTTTTGTATTTATTTTGAAGCCACCTTTCTTTTAAGTCACACAATAGCCAAGCCCAAATTCCACTTTTTTACTTTTGGTTTCCAAATGGTCATTTTTCTAAAAACTTTCATTTTATAGTGAGCCATATATCTTAGCCGTTTCAACTTAGTTTGACTCTAGCAAGGTTCACGTATCGTTTCGTGACCCTTCCGATATGCCCCTACAGTGGGTGTATCGGGGGTCTGACCGGTTCAGGGGATGGAGGGGTCTTAGACTGGTTCCCCTGAATCAGTTTTGAAAAATAAAATAAAAAAAAAGTAAAAAAACAAGTATCGAAATGCTCGATACCCCTACCGGCATATCAGGCGTATCGATATTTTGAACCTTGGACTCTAGTTTATTTAAAAAGTTTTTTTTTTCATTAAGATATATTGTTTTAGGAAGTTTGAATTCAGTTAGGCCCAGTTTGGAAGGAGTATAAATACAAATATGTACAGTATTGCACTCTACAAATTTGTATTTGTACTCCTTCCAAACTGAGCTTATTTTTGGTAGTTTTACTATTTCTGGAAAGCTAGGTTTTGCCTATGAATAGGCTCTTGTACATGAACAATGGCATTGAATTAAACAAAGTTTCTTTTAAATGTCGTTATTTTCATGAAAATTCATTTAGAGGACAATGGTCTTCTTTGTAGGCATTTGGCACTGGAATGTTTCACAAGTGTTCCTTTTCTGATGTGTCATTCATGTCACATCAGCAATTGAATGGAATTGGTCAGAAATTCACATCTGGCAATCTGTTTTTTTGAAAAAAAAATGCTTTGCAATGATTAGGAAAGGTCCGAAAGGAGGACTTTATTGAACCATTAAATTGACGATTCTTGAAAAACTTTGGTGATTTTGAATCACTAAGGTAATGTGATACATTGAAATTTGAAAAAAATGACTTCTTATTTTAGATGTGATATAGTTGTCATTATAAGTATATTATGATGCCAAATCACTTTGGTAAGAAATCACATAATACTTGTCAATTAAATGGAGTTGGTAAGAAATTCACAATTGGCAATCTTTTTTTTTTTCAAAAAGAAAATGTTTTACAATGATTAGCCCTAGGAAAGGAGGAGTTTCTTGAATCATTAAATTGACAACTGTTGTATTGACTCCGTGATTTTGGGACCCACCGATATGCCCTTATAGTGGGTGTATCGGAGGTCTGACCGGTTCAGGGGATGGAGACCTAAACCGGCCCCTCTGAACCGGTTTCAAAAAAAAACTAAAAAAAATAGTACCGATTTGCCCGATATGCCCATACCGACATATCGGGTGTATCGATATTTTAAACTTTGCTTGCATCTTTACCAAATACAAGTTTTTTTTGTGTTTTCAAAAAAAACAGGTGCCAAACACACCATCTTTTTATGCACTTTTTAGTTGGTGTGTATTAAGTTATGGATTATTGAGACTAACGTCACTGACCAGTACCAAACCCAATCGGTTGTCATAAAAGCATTGAAAAAATAAATAAATTTATATTCATGATAGAAGGCATGGTTTTAAAAACCGACCTGGGACGTCTTTTTGTCTGGTTTTTCGATTAGCGGTTCAACCATTTGGTCCGAGCGGGTCAAAATGTTTGGTTTAATTTATGTGAATTTAATGTACTAACCCTCGTATATGGTAATTAATAATCTTCATATTAAACATAGGTTAACCATGACCAATAACCAATAATGTGATAGTTACCCATGAGATATGTCATTCTCTGATAAATAAGAGGGTCCGGGCTGAGTATATAGGGATAAAGTTGGACATGGCCAAAACATATGATAAACTCGATTGGTCGGTACCTACAGGCGGTCATGAAGGCTTTGGGTTTTTTTGAGTCATTGTGTCTGTTAATCGACCAATGCATCTCGTCAGTTTCCTTTCGGTGCTAATCAATGGCATAGCTGAAGGTTATATATTCACATGTAGGGGAATTAGGCAAGGGGACTCCCTTTCTCCGTACCTGTTCCTAATAGTAATGGAAAGCTTATCCAGACCGTAATTAAAAGTGGAAGAAGAAGGGAAAATCCAGGGTTTCAAGGTGGCTAGAGATGCCCCCCTAGTTTCTTGTATCTTTTATGCAGATGATGTAATATTGTTTATCAAAGCCCACCGGGAAGAGATTAGGAATCTCAAAGATACTCTGGAGAAGTTTCGGAGAATGTGTAGGCAATTGGAGAGGGTGAATTTTGATGGATGTAGCTTAAGGAATCCGGGGCCTTCTGGGAGAGGGGGTGTTTTCAGGAATGAGGAGGGGTATATTACTGCCATGTTCTCTAGGCCAATTGGAGAGGGTGACTTTCTTAGGGCCGAAATTCTAGCAGTTCTTGAAGGAATTCAAAAAAGCAAGAGAATTAAGCATCATATGCTTAGTGATTGAAGGGGACTCGAAGGTGGTGATTAGGTGACTGAAAGGAGATATCAATGGCTTGTAGAGTTGCAGTAATGAGAAGAAAAAAATTAATTGGCTGTGTAAGGACTTAGAGGTGCAATAGAGCTGGATGAAGAGAAGTGTTAACTCACTGGCTCATGGGTTAGCTAAGCAAGGGGTGGCTAAGGATTCTTTGTTTTGGACACACTTTTAGTATTCTGTTGTCATTTTGATGTTGGGGAGTTAAGATTGTTTACCTCCTCATTTTTTGTAATTAATTTTCACAAGTATTATTCATTAATAAAGATTTCTGTTATTGATAAAAAAAAGAATGTCTAAACAATTGATAAATAACGAAAGATCTGACCTTTTCAACAAGAATATTCACCCAAGACAGATGAGGAAGTAGTTGAGGATGGAAGTCTAGCCCCTATCTCAAAATACTTAGGGTACCGCTTCTCTAAAACAAACAAAATCACAATTCCCTCTCTTTTGTTTTTGGATGCCTTAAAATCCCAGTTGGCTACCTGGAAGGCTACATCCTAGTCACTAGCTGGGAGACATACTTCGGGTCAGTTTGCCCTTCAAGCTATACCCCTCCATGGATCCATGGATGGGCGTAGCCCTGTTCCCTAGAAAAACAACCTAGGAAATGGAGAAAACCCAAAGATCCTTTTGGTGGGGGGAATAAAGGAGGTCAAAGAGGTTTTAGATGGATCTCTTGGGAAAAACTATGCTCTCCAAAATCTTTTGGTGGGCTAAGCCTCCTTTACATGACTTGAATCCATAGAGCCCTCCTTAAAAAATTGGCCTGGAGATTCTTACTAGAACACCAAAACTGGTGGGCCAACATCTGGCAAGCAAAGTACCTTAAAGGAGGCTTACTGTTTCCGTTTAGGATTAAACAATCAGCTTCCTAGTTCTGGAAATCGATGGGGCTCATCTTGAGGGATCTTTTTTTCTAGAGGTGGGTTATCTGGTAACCCCAGATTCTGATATCCAGGCTACGTCAGTGCATAAAAAACATATCAAGGGTCCGTAGGACTAGATCAACTACTGGCTTTTGCTGATTACCAATTGAAAATCTTAGACCTAATTGGCCAAAATGGGGCTTGGGATAGGGAGAAAATGGAATCATTTTTACAAGACTCGTAGGTCCATAAAATTTGCAACACCCCAATTCGACCCATAGGTCAAGGGCCCACCTGGGTCTCAACCCAGAATAAAAATAGGTGTCTTACAGCAAAATTGACCTACAAAATGGAAGGCCCAGATAAATCAAACCTGGACCTACATCTAGCCCTGAGTCTTAAATAGGCGTGGAAGATTAAGGTGGTGGGATGTTTCAAATTGGCTCTCTGGAGAGCTCTTATGGACCTATACCCGGTTAAATATAAATTGGACATAGATGGAGATGACAGGCTATGTCCTTTATTTGGAGAGAAGGAAGAAAGGCTACAATTTTGAGAGAAGAAAAGATATCTTAATATGGATTTGATTTTTTAGGGAAAGGGATTTTATTTTGAGAGAAAAGAGAATGGTGGCAGAGAGAAACCGAAGAAGAAAAAGAGGAGGAGAGGATGACGTGCATGGTGGCGTCATCGGTTTCTGTTGTCGCGGCCGCATTGTTGTTGTTTACAGAACTATTATTCCTCTTTTCCTCTTTTTTTTCTCTCTCTATCTCTATCTCTGGCTTTGGTTCAAATTTTCTTCCCTTATTCCTCTCAAATCTTAGTTTTCCCTCACCTTTTGTGAATCAATTTATTCTCTTTTTCCTCCCAAATCTCTATCTTTCCCTCTCTCACACAGAAATCTCATATTCTATTTTATTATTTATTTATTAAAAAATAATTTAATATTTTCTTTTAAAAGTAACTTGTGAATCATTGCTTGAGTCAAACGAGTTGATGATTTGATTGCCTGTCGGTGGTTTCTTTAACCAATTCAATCACTTTTGACAAAAATGGTTCAGTGCTAAAATGGAAGTGATATCATAATTGGTTTTTGAGTCAAATGGTCCAACCGTCTAAGTCAATAATTGTTTTAAACCTTGATATGAGATGAACGGGTTCAATAATCATTTTCAGTATTGAAGCGCTTTGGATAAGCTTTCAAAGAGGCTAAAGTGAAAAGCTCTTCCAATGAGTTAGCTAATTTAGGCTCTTCAAATTTTTCGTCAAGCATAGCTTATAGGTTGTCTGTGTTACACCCATCTAGGAAAGCCA